TCTATCACAATCTCTCCTCTGCGTCTCTGTACCCTTTGGGGGCCCCCCACACCCTCCAGGGGGCCCCCCAGGGGGCCCCCTAGGGGGCCCCCCAGGGGGGCCCCACCACCCAGGGCCCCCCAACCGCTGCCTCTGTTCCTCATGCGGTGTATAGACAGATTCAGACGAGAAGTTCTGGGGGCCAATCGCGCGCCTGTATAGTATTAGCATACACATATTCTACTCTTATATATCATACAGATACAGCTAGCTAGCTAGCTAGCTAGCTAGCTTGGAAGCAGGCTGGATAGTTAGATAGTTAGTTGGCAAACTGGGTAGCTAGCTGGCTAGCTGGCCGGGTATCTGGATAGCTAGCTAGCTAGCTAGCTGGCTGAGTATCTGGTTAGCTAGCTAGCTAGCTAGCTAGCTAGCTGGGTGGCTAGCTAGCTAGTTGTTTGATTGTGTCGCCATCATAGAGTTCCTCTCTACTACTTCAGCAAACCCAAGAAGAATATATCCCATCTATACACTCTAGGGTTTAGAATCAAGGGTTTAGGGTTTAGGGTTTAGGGTTTAGGGTTTAGGGTTTACTGAGGTTAAAAGTTTTAGTTTTAAGTATATGCACAGCCAGGGGGTCGCCGGAGCGGATCCCTGATTTGGGGGGCCGCCTGACGGTGATGCCATCGGGGTTGAGAAGAGGGTCAACAAACCCTCTCCTGCTGCTGCTGCTGCTGCTGCTGCTGCTGCTGCTGCTGCTGCTGCTGCTGCTGCTGCTGCTGCTGCTGGTGGGGGTTGGGGTATGAGGGGAGAAGTCTGCTGAGCGGATGTCTTGGAGGGGGGGGTCGTGTGGGGTGTCTCTGTGTCTCCTTCGTCCCCTTTTGGGGGTTTGTGTGTTATCATTTTGCTGCTGCTGCTGCTGCTGCTGCTGCTGCTGCTGCTGCATCTGTTCTCCGTCCCCCTCTGCTGCTGCTGCTGCTGCTGGTGGTGGTGCTGCTGCTGGTGTTTCTGGTGGGGGTTGAGAGTGTGTGGGGCTGCTTGCTTTGGGGTCTGAGTGCATGCGGGCGAGAAGGGGGGTGTATGAGGGGTCAGAACCATCAGCAGCAAGAGACAGAGGAACGGAGACAGGTAAAGAAGCAGCACACAAAGGAGACACAGCAGCAGGCTCCTCTCCCCGCCATCTCTTTCTTAAGCTTAGAGCCCTCTGCATATAAAACACCTCCTCAGGAACATCTTCCTCCTCACCCATCACGATATATTTTTTTTTTATATATTTATGTCCCTGTCGAGGGTTTAGGGTCTAGGGTTTAGGGTTTAGGGTTTAGGGTTTAGGGTTTAGGGTTTGGGGGGTTGAAGGGGGAAACAGCAACTGTTTATACAGTAAAACACTCAAATGATTATTTTTATGTTTTATACACATAAAAAAATAAATGCGAAACCCCAGACATGAATATATAAAAAAAAGGGTTTAGGGTTTAGGGTTTAGGGTTTAGGGTTTAGGGTTTAGAGAAGCCAGTGGTAGTGGGCTGTGACTGGCGAATTGTGTTTATCAGGGAAAGAGAAATATAGTTGACTGCATTTATTGAGGAAAAATTAGGGTTTAGGGTTTAGGGTTTAGGGTTTAGGGTTTAGGGTTTAGGGTTTAGTAGCTGACAAGGGTTCAGCACCGCGCTGCTCCTCGCAGCCGCTCAGGTGTATATGCAGCTCATTGTTTTTTTCTTGTATTTCTGTTTATTTATTTTTTCTTCTTTTTTACTTTTTTATTAAAAAACTTTTTCTCACTCATATCAACCACTTACCCCAAAAAATAAACCCTAAACCCTAAACCCTAAACCCTAAACCCTCACTCAACCCCACGGTAACACTACCACCGACTGGGGGGGCCTCGGGGGCCCCCCTCTTACCTGGGGTCCTCCTGCGGGTTTAGGGTTTAGGGTTTAGGGTTTAGGGTTTGACGGCGAGTACCAGTGCCTGAGACCTCCCCTCTAAACCCTCATCGGGGTGTATAGACACCCCAGCCAGGGGCCCCCTGGGGGCCCCCCCACCATAGAAAAGGGTTTGTAGCTGTGTATACCGAATCAGAAATAAATAGCTAGCTGCAGCTAGCCACAGCTAGCTGCAGCTAGCCAGAGGTTGCCACAGCTAGCTGCGGCCGGCTACAGCCAGCTACAGCTAGCCGCAGCTAGCTGCAGCTAGCTACAGCTAGCTACAGCTAGCTACGGCTAGCTACAGCTAGCTACGGCTAACTACAGCTAGCCTGCACGATTGGGCGTCAGTTCTAGCGAAGGCTCATC